GGTTGGACTGGATGATCTTGGAGGTCCCTTCCAACCCAGCTGATTCTGTGATTCTATGATGGGTCAGAGGGCACATTCCTCCCCCTCCAAAATCAGCTCCTCCCATTCCCAAGAGCTCAAGGTGTTACCTGGAATGAGGTGGGGGGGTTGATGTTCACACGGGCTTGGTTCCAGTGCTGGCCCTTATTCCCACTCGAAGACCACAGGGGGTTCTCTATTGCAGTCTGACCTTTCAGCCTCAGGTAAACGTTCAGGCTTCCTGGAAAAGAGGAGATCTGGAGTTGGTCAGGCCTTCCCAAGGAAGGTTGGCACAGCAGAGTCCCCTCCTCACCCCCATTCCCATTTTTTTCTGGGTCTGAACACGTGGGGAGAGTTTCTTGTCATATATTCCAAACCTTTTCAAGTTGTGGAGGCTGAGAACTACACAATCCACCTGGGAGTCATTTTTACCTCTCAGTCTTCTCATTTTAATAAGTCCTGGAATGTGTGTCCCGTTTCAAAGGGCAGTTGAGATCCAAATAACCATTTATTTATGAAAAGTGGGGTGTTTTTTTCAGAAATGAGGCACCAGAAAAGGACATTTTGTTCCTGCTCTCCTGGTAGGGGGAGTCTGGAGTGAGTATTTCTTGAGTGTGTGGGAGATTAAGCGGCCACTAAAAAATCCAGCCAGGAAAAATGGAGAGGGAGTTGGGCTCAGGGTTCAGGTTTTGTCCCATCCCTGGCAGTGTCCAAGCCCAGAGCAACCTGGGCTAGTGGAAGGTCTCCCTGCCCATATCTAGATGATCTTTAAGGTCCCTTCCAACCCAAACCTTCTATGATTTTATGATTTTCTGATAAAAACTGCCCAGCTTCCCATTTACTCAGCACATCTTTGAGCTCCTAGAGTGCCCCAGAGCCTGGCAGATCTACCTCAGATGTTGATGTGATGTGCCCTTCCTGCTGCCAAGGGGTATTTTTGAAGGACAAGAACATCCTCGGAGTTAAAATCCCCTCAGAAGACTCCCTCCTTGTGGAGGAAACCCCCCCCCCGGAGCTGTGGCTTTGCCCACTGCTGACCATGAAGTTACTGGTTCCAGCACAGGCATTATTTACAACAAGTAAGAGATTTCATTTATTCATATATATGAATATATATTCATATATATTCATTTATTCATATATATTCATTTATTCATATATATTCATTTATTCATATATATTCATTTATTCATATATATAAGAATTCCCAGAGTTTGGAGATTTGGGTCCTATTTACCTGGTGTTATTATTTTCAGATGTGTGGGGCAGTGGTGCCTCTTTGTTCTCTGCAAATCCTTATATCACACCCAAAACCCACTGGTTTGTGGACACACTTCACCCTCAGTGGCTGCTTTTCTTATACTTTACTCCAACCCTTTACTTTTCAACCCAAACACTTTATCAGCTATTCCAGAAACACTCTTGGGCCCTTTATATTCTGAATTTGCTCTTCATGGTCATACACCAGAAATAGGCTTGGTATGACCAGAGGGCCAGGAAACACCTTGATTTCATTTCTCAGGGATCAATAATTCCCATAACTTTGAGGTTTTGGTCCTATTTGCCCACTGTTGTTGTCTGCAGATGTGTGGGGCAGTGGTGCCTCTTTGTTCTCTGTAAATCCTTACATCTGCCTTGATTTGAGAAGGTTCAGACAGTCAAGTTCACACAAGAGCAGTGGTTTTTTTTAGGGGGCTTGGCCTGGCAGCTGGAGAGCTCATACAAATGATATTTGCAATGCAAGCTCTCAGCTCTGAGGCAGCTGCACAGTGACTCAGCTCCTGCTCATAAAAACTTCTTATTTCCAGCAAGAACCAAACTCAGGGCCTTGAAAAACATCAAAAAACCCCATGTAATGGAGTAGCAAATATTCCCCTCACGGCCCTTTCGCCAGGGGACCTGGGATGAGGGCTCACATCTTCCCTGGAGGAGCTGGGGGAGCTCCCACTGTGGAATTCCAGCTTGGGAATGCAGGGGAGGGGGCAGAGGCAGGAAAAAAAGACCTAAAGCAAAAAGGGTTTGCCAAGGGAATGCTCAGGAGGGTTCCCTGCAGCCCAGGCTGGGGCTGTGACACAGGCCTGGGCAGGGCTGGAGAGGCTGCTGGGCCTCATCCCTCTTCCAAACTTATTTAATATAATATCATATTATTATGATCATGGAATGGTTTGGGTTGGAAGGGACCTTTAAAGACTCTCAGCTTCCAATCTCCTGCCATGGGCAGGGACACCACCCACTAGCCCAGGTTGCTCCAACCTGGCCTTGGACACTTTCAGGGATCCAGAGGCAGCCACAGCTTCTCTGGGCAACCTGGGCCAGGGCCTCCTCACCCTCCCAGCCAGGAATGCCTTCCCAATATCCCACCTATCCCTGCCCTCTGGCAGTGGGAAGCCATTCCCTGTGTCCTGTCCCTCCATCCCTTGTCCATAGTCTCTCTCCATCTTTCCTGTAGCTCCTTCAGGTCCTGTAAGGCCACAGTCAGAACACTCCAAAGCTTCTCCTCTCCAGGCTGAACAATCCCAGCTCTCCCAGCCTTTCCTCCCAGCAGAGCTGCTCCATCCTCTGATCATCTCCATGGACTCCTCTGGACCCATCCCAGCAGATCTGTGTCCTTAGATATGTTCAGATCTCCATCGATCTCCACACCAGCTTCTCTGGGAATTCCATTCCAGCCCCTCCCCACCCTCCCAGCCAGCAATTCCTTCCCTGTATCCCATCCATCCCTGCCCTCTGGCAGTGGGAAGCCATTCCCTGTGTCCTGTCCCTCCATGCCTTGTCCCCAGTTCTTCTCCAGCTCTCCTGGAGCCCCTTTAGGCCCTGCAAGGGGCTCTCAGCTCTCCCTGGAGCCTTCTCTTCTCCAGGTGAACCCCCCCAGCTCTCCCGGCCCAAGACACAGGAATAATAACCCTGACACTGCCTGGAAATCTTATGGGTCCTACAGCAGAGAGATCACATGTTAGATAATAAATTAGATATGAGGAAGGAATTCCTGGCTGGGAGGGTGGGGAGGCCCTGGCACAGGTTACCCAGAGAAGCTGTGGCTGCCCCTGGATCCCTGAAAGTGTCCAAGGCCAGGTTGGAGCAACCTGGGCTAGTGAAAGGTGTCCCTGCCCATGGAACAAGATGAGCTTTAAGATCTCTTTGAACCCAAAGCACTCTGCGTTTCTACGACACACAAAGTCTCATTCAGCAGCTCTTGTGGATAAATCCATGAGCAGGGAATGCCAACAGCTGCCCTGACTGGCCCTGTTCATTCTCAAAGGGGGATAATGAAGACCTTCTACACATTGGCTGCAAATTCCAGAGCCCAGTGAAGGGTCAAGGCTTCCAACAGCTCATGATGAAACAGTCAATCTGTTCCAGCAATGAGATTTAGAATTATCCACAGGGGAGGAATCCTTAATAACATGTGATTCTGAAAAAAATCTATTACCAATTAACTATTTCTCACAGAGGTTGGAGGCATCTCTGGGGATCATCCCATCCAACCCCCTGCTCAAGGCACAGCACATGAAAGCAGCTTTACAGGGCCAGGGACAACTGGATTTTGGAATCTCCAAGGACAGAGACTCCCCCCCAGCCTCTCTGGGCAACCTGTGCCAGTGTTTGACTGCCCTCAGAATTAAAAAAACACAACAGGTTTTATGTTTAAATAGAAACGATTCTTTTTCAGTTTGTGCTCATTGCACTGAAATCTTAAAATTTCATCACTCATTAATCCTTTTCATGACCCTCACAGGAACAATATCAGGGACACATTCCACCTCTGGTCAACCAAATGGTTTCTATATTTGCTGACTTCATAATTTATTTCATGTGTTTCGCTTGATTTTGTCATTCTGAGGAGTTAAAATTTCAAATTAAGCAATCAAACACACGGTTGATGGTGTTAATTCCCTATTTTTCCTGTCATTTTGCTCCTTAAAGACAGAATAAAATGTAATTTTATACTGCATGGGGCTCTGAGTAACCAGTTCTACTGGAAAGAGGTGGAACAAGATGAGCTTTAAGGTTCCTTCCAGGGGGACCCTTCCTTTTCAACAGGAAAAAGGTGATCTCAGCAAAAAATGCTAATGACAGATATTACTGAAAAGGTAATCCAGGAAAAATACCCCAAAACCCCCCAAATCACACCCAAAATCACTGGCTATTTTTCTTATATTTTATCCCAACCCTTTACTTTACAACCCAAATACTTTGTCAGGTGTTCCAGAAACACTCTTGGCCCCTTTATGTTCTGAATTTGCTCTTCATGGCCATATACAAGAAATAGGCTGGTATGACCAGAATATGAGCAGAATTTGACCAGAAGATGACCAGAATTTAACTAGAATTTGATCAGAATTCAACCAGAATACAACCAGAGTTTCACCAGAATCTAACCAGAATGTGATCAGAATGCAATGAAAATACGACCGGAATACGACCGGATTTTAAACAGAATATGACTATAATTTGACCGGAATTCAACCAGCATGCAACCAGCATGCAACCACAATATGACCAGAATTTAACCAGAATATGTCCATAATACAACGAGAATATGACCATAATTTTACCAGAATTCAGCCAGAATATGACCAGAATTCAATCAGCATACAACTAGAATTCAACCAGAATGTGACCAGAATGCAACCAGAATACAACTAGAATTCAGCCAGAATGTGACCAGAATTTAACCAAAATGTGACCAGAATACAATCAGAATACAACTAGAATTCAACCAGAATGTGACCAGAATTCAACCAAAATGTGACCAGAATTCAACCAAAATACGAGCAGAATTCATCCAGAATGTGACTAGAATTTGACCAGATTTGAAACAGAGTATGACCACAATTTGACCAGAATTTAACCAGAATATGTCCAGAATACAAGGAGAATATGACCAGAATTCAACCAGAATGTGATCAGAATTTAACCAGAATATGACCAGAATTTTACCAGAATTTAACCAGAATATGACCAGAATTTTACCAGAATATGATCAGAATGCAACCATAATACATCCAGAATTTTACCAGAATTCAGCCAGAATGTACCCAGAGTACAACAAAAATATGACCAGAATTCAACCAGAATTCAACCAGAATATGCCCATATAAAGCAGTTAATATATTTTCTCTGAGCATGTCGGGCTCAATCACTTCTCCCAATCAAACCCTAGCTCCTGCTGCAACCCAGAGCCGGGAGAATTCCCACCTGGGGCCGCATCCACCTTCTCCCAGCGCCAAAAAAAACCCCAAATGAACTTGTCTGCTCCGTTTAAAATCCCAGCTCAGCCCGGGGGCAGGAGGAGCTTTGACAAAACCACCACCAGACCATGCTGGGAGGATGAGTTTGAAATTTGAAATGAGTTTGCCCTTGGAATTTAGACAAAAACACATCCAGTCGGGTCAGCTCGACCCTGGAAAAGCTCTTGACACACCGAGCGCCCCGCAGGGATTTCGAGGACTTGGGAAAAATTGGTTGTCTGAGCTTTAGATTTTTATATTTTTTTATATTTTTTTTTGCTGTCAGACCACGGGAAGAAATTACAGCTGCGTGTTGGAAGAGCTGGAGCTAAAAATAGACTTAGAGATATCCCTTGAAAACACAGATTTCTGCGGCTTGGGAGCAAATCGTTCCTGACTTGTACAAAGGAGGATGTGCTGCTGCATCACACACGTGAGGAATTGCTGCTGCTGCCTCCCCCATCCCGAATTTAGGCAGGAATGACTCAAAATGCTCCTTTACAGCAAGAAAAATCCTTGCTAATATCAAGTTTTGGCTTTTCAGGCTCTAAAATTCCCCGCTCAAAACCTCAGTCGTGCAGGAAATTATTCCAAGATATAAGAGGGTCTTCTATGGATTCATGATCAGTGAAAATTGGGATTTTGCAATAATTTGGAAAATTTACTACTCAAAACCTCACTCAAGCAGGAAAAGCTGCAAGAGGGGCTCCTGAGAGCTCCTGAATAGTGGAAATTGGGATTTTGCAATAATTTCGAATATTCCCTGCTCAAAACCTCATTAATGCAAGAAATGCTTCCCAGATATAAGAGAGGTTCCCATGGGTTCCTGGTCAGTGGAAATCGGAATTTTGCAATAATTTGGAAATTGGAATTTTGCAATAATGTGGAAAATTCCCTATTTAAAACCTCACTCACGCAGCAAACTCTTCCCAGCTGTCAGAGGGGCTCCTGTGAATTCCTGACCAGTGGAAGTCAGAATTTTGCAATAATTTGGAATATTCCCTGCTCAAAATCTCATTAATGCAGGAAACACTTCCCAGATATAAGAGGGGCTCCTGTGAGTTCCTGATCAGTGAAAATTGGGATTTTGCAATAATTTGGAAAATCCACCGCTCAAAACCTCACTCATGTAGGAAATGCTTCCCAGATATAAGAGGGGTTCCTATGAGTTCACGATCAGTGGAATTTTGCAATAATTTGGAAATTGGAATTTTGCAATCATTTGGAATATTCCCTGTTTAAAACCTCAGTCAGGCAGGAAACGCTTCCCAGATATAAGAGGGGCTCTCCTGTGGGTTCATGATCAGTGGAAATTGGAATTTTGCAATCATTTGGAATATTCCCCGCTCAAAACCTCACTCATGCAGGAAACTCTTCCCAGCTGTCAGAGGGGCTCCTGTGAGTTCCTGATCACCCGGAACTGGAATTTTGCAGCAATTTGGATGCTCTCAGGCCTCTCTTTTCGGTTGTAACCAGCCCCGGAAGGTGCCGGGAGTCCTCCCCTGCTTTTCCTTCACCCCAGAGGCCACTTTTCCTTCCGTTTTTCCCCCGAAAGCCTGTCCCCCAGAGGTCCCCCTGGCTTTCTCTCACCTATGTGCTGTCCATACATGTGATAGTAGAAGCTGAAGCAATAGGCCGTGTTCGTGGCTCCGTAGGGATTTTTGGGAGCGACGCTGAACACGGGACTGACCAGTCTGGCCTTCTCCCCTTCCAGCCTGGGCCGGGACGTCTCGATGTACATGTAGAAACCTGGGAAAATCCAAACGGGAATCGTTAGGTTGGGATCTTCTACACCCTTCAAATGCAGGACATGGCAGGATTTGATTAATTAATCCAGAGGCTCGATCGATTTTTCCCATTTTTCTGCCATCCCGTGGATTCTGGGCCGTGTTTCTTCATATTAAGCTAATGTGTTTTCTGCAGCTGCTTCAAAATCATGTTTTCTATGGAAACTGAAATCTAAACCGGCAGGTCCAGTCCTGGAAAACAACTAACTCCCAAGTCCTGGAAAACAACTCCAAGTCCGTGTAACGTGTTAATGCACGAGCAAAGAAAAAGATCTTTATGAGGGGGTTCAGCCTTCAGGGTCCAGGTGCCAATTTGTCCCTGTAAAGAGTGATTTGTAAAATGAAGGGAAAATATCTCAATGGAAACCTTTCAAGGAATATTTCCTGCTGGCCACATCAGTCACGAAGAAGAAAATATTCATTTATTGTGTTCCCAGACTGTGCAAACCACAGAGATTTTATTTATTTAACCCAACCGAGTGAATGTGATGCAGGAAAGGGTTTTTTTTTTCCCATTTGGTTGTGCAAACAGGGGCCTAAAATAACCTGAGTTACTGCAGGATTTTGAAAAATTCAGCACGAGGTGTTTGCCTTTTCAATGTAAACACACACTGCAGCGGAAAACCACGTTAACGGGGGAGCAGATGGAAAACTGCACAGTTTAACAACACCCAGAGCAAAAACGGGGCCAAAAATCACCTGGTTGTGACAGGCTGAGAGAGTCCAAGTTGAGATTTAAATGTCATAAAGCAGAAGAATATTTGCAGATGAGCCAGGAGATTTCCCCAGCAGGATATAATGGGAAAGGATTCACTTGGAAAATGGCACAACAGAAACGAGGCAAGGTGGTTGATGGCAACATTCTGGTATTATTATTCTTGGCATGACCTTAGAGCACCTTCCAGTACCTAAAAGGGGCTCCAGGAGATCTGGAGAAGGACGTGGGACAAGGAGGGACAGGACAAGGGGAATGGCTGTAAATTAAAGGAGGGCAGGGCTAGATGGGATATTGGGAAGGAGTTCTTGGCTGTGAAGGTGCTGAGGGGCTGGGATGGAATTCCCAGAGAAGCTGTGGCTTCCCCTGGATCCCTGGAAGTGTCCAAGGCCAGATTGGAGCAACCTGGGCTAGTGGGTTGGAACAATATGGACTTTAATGTCCCTTCCAACCCAAACCATTCTTTGATTCTATAATAAAATAAGTTTATCTGGATTTAAAAGTATCACCAACTTTTAGCCAGACACAGAACAAGCTATAAAATAACACAACCCAAGGAAGCTCAGACAGCATCTGACCAGAGAGGGCTGGAATGAGATGGGATTTGAGGTCCCTTCCAACCCAAACCATTCTTTGATTCTATAATAAAATACTTTTAAATCCAGATAAACTGATCACCAACTTTGAGCCAGACACAGAACCACCTGTAAAATAACACAACCCAAGGATGCTCAGGCAGTATTTGACCAGAGAGGGCTGGAATGAGATGGGATTTGAATGAGGTTAAAGGAAAAAAAAATAAAATAAATATTCAGGCCAGGTTGGGGGGGAAGGAAGTCAAAGTTTGCCATTTATTTAACAGGCAAACACTGGTTTCATGTGGAATACATTGGAAAAGGTTAGTGCTGAATGTTCTTGGCACTAAAACATGACAGGAGAATAAAAATGGGGAAGAGGTCCTGAGGTTTAACCCAACACTTTTTTAATGCAAGAAACAGGAGCATTTCAATGGATCTGGATGGTGCTGAGCTGTTAATTAATGGGCAGGAGGAAGAGCCCTCCCAACTCAAACCATTCTTTGATTCTATAATAAAATATTTTATGGCCAGATGCAGAACAACCTATAAAACAACACAATCCAAGGATGCTCAGGCAGCATCTGACCAGAGAGGGCTGGAAAGAGATGGGGTTTGAGGTCCCTCCCAACCCAAACCATTCCATGATTCCATGACCAGGAAATGACTGAACTGGCCATCCTGGCACAGCCCTGCTCCCGGTGCCAGCCCAGCAGGAGCACCAGGATGTCCCTCACCTTCCTTGGAGCCCGTCCTGTCAGCGTTGGGCCCCGTGTTTGGGGTGTACTTGGTGTCCCTCGTGGCAGTGCTTTGTTTAGTCCAGTCAAAGTTATCCGTGTCATCTTGGGTGAAAAGGCAAATATTCCCATCCTCGAAGCCACAGTGGAACTCTCCTGCCAACACAGCGAAGAGCAGAAATTCAGTGGCCAAAGCTGTTCCTCCAACCCTCGTTTTTCAAAGTATTAATTATAATGAACACATTGGGATGATGCTCAATAACAGCAAATAGGAGTATTTGTGAATACAAATACATGTATTTTTATTTTCCGTCGGTTTCTACTGTTTAATGTCGTTTTCTTTTGCAGCAACCTCAACAAAATGGAAATCAAACAAAATGTCATCAATCTGTGCTGGTGCTGCTTGAAATCATATTTAAATCTTATTGCGCAGCTCGTCCTCTCTCATATTCAGGTTTATACATTTAGGGTAAACATTTACACATTTACATATTTATACGATTTTTTTAATGTAAATTTATATATTTATTCAGTTTTAGACACAAATGTATGTATTTATACATTTTAGAGGTGTCGTTTCTTCTTACCCGGATTGCATTCCTAAAAAGCTGGGAAGAATGGGCACCATGTCCATAAAACATGAACCACAGAGGAAAAAGTGGGAAGTGGATTATTTTTGTTTAGGGATAAGAAGATCAAAATCTAAACGTTATCTCCAAGTGGCATCTCCTAAATTATCCTTAATTTCAGTAGGGTTGGGAAAGGAAGTTGGGGTGAAAATGAGAGCAAAGGAGCTTCAGGGCTGATGTGAAGAACATCCCTAAAAATCAGGACATGGATGGATTGCTCAGGAAGAGCAGTGGGATCCCATCACTGGATTACTTTAATCAAGTAGAGGAATACCTGGAAAAAAAGTTTTAGGTCTATCT